CGCAAACAAATTTGTTTGCGTTCTACTACAATCTAAAGGATACTATAATTACAAAACACTAGACACTTTTATAAACATAAACACAGAATACTAGCATTAAAGTATTAATTATGCCTTTATACTTACAAAATTCATAGCAAAATTTTTGTATTTGTGCTTATGCTTGTGCCAACTTATACAAATTCTTATACTTTTTGTTAAGAATAGATATAAGCCTAAGTTGCAAACCTCTATTTAGAATAAATTTAATATTAATTTAGAAGTTAAATCTTTGAAATAAAAATATTTGATAGTTTGAAAATCTATACTATAATTATTCAACTAATATCATCAATCTATCTTTAGAATATATATCATGTCTAAGAAAATATTAAATATACAAATTAGCAGTTGTTGAAAAAGATTCTAAAGCATTTTGAAAAATATAAAAGTTCTACTATATTATTCACAAAGGTTATTAAAGATTATTAGACTTCAAAATGAATTCAAGATTGGTGTTATAACATAATAAATAAGATGAAAATATTTTAAAAAACATTTTGTAAGTAAAAATAAAAACCAAAAAGCCTAAACTAAATACAAAAATGAACTATATCTAAATTAATAAGCAATCTTCTTATTGTAAAATAGTTTTTTCTAATTTTTACTACTATGTTTATTATGTATCCACATTTTGAAGATGCATTTTGTTGAAAGCTCTCACTCTAATGCACCTAATAAATCACTTTTTATATAAAAAACTTGTAAGCTTGAAAGGAATCTTACAACAATATACAAAATAATTGCCTAATCTGTAGGTCAATAGCACAGTAATTAGTGCTTTCAGGTCACAGTTACAAAGTTGCATGATTGAAAGGATCTTTGAGAGGACAATTTTCATATAAGAAAAGAACAAAATTCATATATATAGAATGCAGTCTATCAATATAACATAGGATCAAGAACAACCAGATAAGGTGAATTTATCAACAAATGATGTAAAAATTAAATAAATCCAGCTTAAAAACATAGTAATACTAAACTAATGAAAGAAAAGAACTATGAGATTTGATATTCAGGAGGTACCTGCCTACACCTGAAATAGAAGAATGACCGAAACCTTAAGACAAACCAAAAACAGCAAGTACTAAAGTAGCACAAGACAGATTACTGAAAGAAGAACCAGATGGTGCTGAAACCAAAAACACTACTGGTGGGCAGAAAGACAAATAAAGGAGTAGTTAGAAGACTGAGTATAGATTAAGGAAGTATATAGAATAGAAAATTTATAATGTATAAGATATAATGCAGATTTATAAATAAAAGAGTGTCACACATGTCCGATGATAGTAATATCATCAGTATAAAAAAAATAAATAATTGCCTATTTAGTGACATAGTATTTTATAACAAAAGTTTATTTTTATATTTTTTATATCACTTAATTTGTTAAACCTTAGAAATAAATTTGTGCTAAAGTGTATTGAATAAGATTTTATTAGAAATTTTAAAAATGTAATTTTTTCGATTTGTATAATTTATAAAAATCATATAATAAAAATTTTAATGTAATAAATCATGTGACTATTAAGATGTTTTTTTATATTTTCTTGTATTTATATATATATTATAATTAACTAGCCTCTTTGAAGCTAAGTTTTTTTTTTACATATTTAATAAGTAATCACAAATTATCTAAACAAAAAATTTTTTTTTATATATAAAATTTTACTATAAGCCTGAAAGTAAAATACAACTATTTAAAACTTATTTTTTATTAAGTAAATCACTTTTGGGCTTTTAACAAAAGTTGTAAAGTTTAATAAAGATAGAGGCATGGCCTCACCTTTGAAAAAAAACAAAAGTTGTAGAGCTTATCAAGAAAAGGTTTTTTAAATATTACTCAAAAACTACCAAGCTATTTTTAACATTCTTATTACTATTAAATGCTTCTTGATAAGCTTTATACCTTTTGTTAAAAGCCCAAGAGTGATTTATTTAGTAAGAAAAAGTTTTAGATAGGTATGCTCCACTTATGGGCTTAGATAACTCATGATTTGTCTATTAATAGATAATTCTTTAGTGAACTGAAATATAATATTTATCCAAGAAAACTTTTTCTTACTAAGTAAATCACCTTTGGGCTTCTAACAAAAGTTGTAAAGCTCATTAAGACATATTTAATTGGCTTGGTGGTTTTTAAAAAATCTTTAAAAAATGTTTTACTGACTATATAAAATCTTCTTTAAAAAAATAAATAAATTTTATATGTTAGCAAAATGTTTTTTAAATATTTCTCAAGAACTACAAGCCAATTTTAATGTTCTTACCACCATTAGTTATATTTTGATAAGCTTTACAACTTTTGTTAAAAGCCTAAAGATAATTTATTTAGTAAGAAAAAAGGTTTCTTGGATGAATGCTACATTTCTTTAAAAAATCTCTACATTTCCATCTATATAATTTACTTATAGAACTGAAAAAAAATAACTGAATAAGATAAATAATCTTATTGCAGCATGAATTAAAGACAAATCTAAAATGCTATCCAGATATTTAACTTTCAGTTAGATTACAATAGAGAAGAGCTAGATGCTCCAATTCTTAAAGATATTTTAGATTCCAGACTTATATCAATCTGGATTAAATTAGTATCAATAAATTCCATATAGGCCAAAATTGAAAAAACAATAATCTCTCAAAAACTTCAAAGTAAAAGGAATATTTCTATATTAATAGCATTAACCAATTTATCAGTTAAGTTTAAAGAATGACTTAATAAGAGGCATGCCATTTATTACGTAATAAAATTTTATTAATAGCTACCTCCATCCATGTATAGTGTGATCTTAATTCCAATTGGTTAATTTATTTAAAGATCTTCCGTATCTAGTATACACTATATATCATATTATAAAAAAAATTTAAAGTATATACATACTTTGTATTTACAATAGGCAGTCTAACTATTTATAGTTTATATCCAAGTTTAATTCATAGTATTTGTATATACCAGAAACGGAGTGAAGAAGTTATGAAGTATATGGCTTACCAGAGAAAGAAAAGTATATGGTCCCAAAATCTAATTTCTGATTTGCCAGCGTGAACATCTTGTTCTTCACCCACTATTAAAACTACTACCTATCTCCGTCAAAGCCACGAATCTGCACAACACCCACAGTTGAAGTCACTGCTAACTCACGAACTTACACTACAAAATCTCGAATCCACTTGTTGAAATCTTTATCATTACTCAAAATCATAAACAATCATTAACTTGCTTATTGTTTAATATAAACTACTAATTTACCCGCCACTAAAATTAACCCATCAATATTAAATGCACTAACCAATTTACAACTGAAACAGTAAACTCACTCGATGTTTAAATCACCAACCCTCTTTTAAAATCACCAACGCCTATTGTTAAGATCACTGTTCTACCGTTGAAAGTATTAATCACCAATCACCCATCGTTACAAATCACTAACTTACCCATCCACTTTTGAAATGATGAGCGCACTCATCATTGAAATCACAAAATATAGAAAACAGACAAATAAATCTTCATAGTATCAAAATATTAGTATATGTCGAGGATGATACTGAAATTTGAGAGTCTCTATTTAAATATAAACCCTACAAAATCTACCTATACTTTTTATTATAAACACTAACATTTAAATCCTAATTTAACTACAAAAAAAAAGCCAAAAAACGTTCCTTCAAATTTTAAAATTTCATATTAAAATAAGCCAGAGTTTGGTATCATCCCAACAGTATAGATTGTTCGTTATTCATAAAAACAATTTTTTAATGTACATTGACTTATATACGTACATAATCTATCTCAGGTCAACTCTATCACTCAAGCTCTATCAATGAAATGACTGTCGACAAAATAATTCATGAAATTGGTCTATACGTATTATAATCATGATTAAATTTTTAAATAATATCTGATCATAATTTAAAATAAAATCTACATTTTCTACTCAACCTGTTGGCCTTCTAAAACCCACAAATACTTGTTTATTATAACTTTACTTTAAAACTAACTCCTAACCCTAACCCCTAGCCCTAAAAAATGCACCACAAAAAATTTTATTTTTCAAGATTTTATATTATAATTTCATTTTGATCTGGATTTCATTATGATCTGTCACATTTATTAACCCAAATGAAGCTTTCCGTTCCTGGTTTTAGTGCGACGTAGTCTCGCAGTTACCTAATATATATATAAATAAAAGACAATAATGTTTATCAGTGTTATATATCTCGCGTCAACTAGTTGCAAATTTCATCTTGTCATGTAATGATTTAAGAAACGATAAATGATCATGCAAAGTGTGGGAAATTTATTTCACAAAATCATCTGCATATAGTTCCTATTAGGGTTCTAAGAATAGTGAAATAAACGGGTACCATGGTTTGGTTTAAAGATAATATGCACAATTCTTATTTAGATTCTGGAAATCCCAAGAATGGAAACGGGTACCATGGTTTAGGGTTGTAAAACATAATAATATGCATGTAGTTCTTATTAGCATTCTGAGAATACAGAATGGATCCGGGTACTATGAATAGTACTGTGCTTGGCGTTCATAGAATTTTAAAGGTTTTTGGGATAAATAATGGTGAGATTAGTTAAAACAGTCACGAGCGATGCATGAGTAAAACTTATTTGAGTAGTTAAAGATACTAAAATAGTGGTTTTGATTTTAAATTTGTAATTACTGTATTGATTTATCTTTCACTTGATCTGGATTTTAAAAATTTGGTGCAAAATAATGAAAAAATCAATTAAATAAGACATAAGAGAGCCAGAAAAATGATAAATAAAGCTTATCTAGTAATCGAATATTTCAGGCTAGCAATGCTGTAGCCTTTAAAATGTAATCAATGCATTGGTGTTTGGTCATGCTGGTTATATGTGAACATAGTAAAAGAAACGTATAAAAACGGCATAAAAAAGTACTAAATTCTTACTACTGTTGTGAGTTTTAAATTATCATAAAAAAATGCAAAGTTTTTTAAAGGCTCCTAAATTTGATAAACAATTTTTTTATAAACCGCCCACTGACTTATACCAAGAATTTTGTAATGCCTATGCTTATTCTGAGCAGGCAGCCCATTGTAATATCGTCCCAAACAAACAAAAGTTATTAAGTGATGCACGAACAGAGTGGAAAAAAATTCGGGAGCAGAATGAAACCATTATTCATAAGAAAATACAAGCATATTTAGCTACTAAACCTCATATAATCTGTTCATATCAAAGAATAATGAGACCGCCACCGACCAATTCTGTCCAAACCTCATCTATTTCCATGCTAAGTTCTTTACGAACATCCATTAATAAAAGCATTACGGCAAAGAATGCAAGAGCGCAAAATGATACAATTGAAAAGATCAAAGAAGCGACCCAACAAATATTGGAGTATGAGAAGTCATGCTTGCTGATATCAGATAATAATTTTAAAAAATCAATCATGTCACAAATTGAGGAAAAAAAAAAATTAATTAAAGAAAATGAAAAAAAATTAAAAAAACTTAAGGGCCACACAGAGGCGCAGGCTAAATTTAGAGCAAAAAAGCAGAAACAGATAAATGAAGATGTTGTTGAGCAATATGATACTCCTGGAAGACCACCTGCAGCAATTTTTTATCCGGATCTCTGGGACAAAATATATAACAGTGTTGAATTCAGCGCAGCTTATGCTAAAAGAAGGAAAACAGTGATTAAAGTTCGTACTATTAAACATTTACATGAATCATTAGAAGAAAAATATAATATATACCTTTCTCGTCAATGTTTGTCTACATACCTGGAACCTCGTCATAAACACACTTTTGCCGCACGTCGTCATCATCATCCAGCAAAAATTGGTCTTGCATCTGTAGCTAGAACTAATATGAAGCAGCATATTGATGAACATTACTGTTTGGCATCTGTCAAAGCGGCTCAGGTATTTGCTGAAGTTTTTGCTGATGATGCTATTATCATCTCTCAAGATGATAAAGCCAAAGTTGGGTTAGGTGTTCTGGCAGTAGATCATATATTTAAAACTATACAATCAATAAATGAGCCGGTTACAGTTGAAGATCACAACTTTGTAAAAGGAAATAAAATGAAACTTATACCTTCTGTATATCTTCTTATTGATCTGACAAATTCAAACACTAACCTCCATACTGGCCAGCTTACTATTTTTATTAGACCTGAGTATTTCGTAAGCACATCGTCAGTAACACACATGGCAGATTTATTAAGTCTTGTCTTTGATCAACAATTTGCCTCTGTCCTATTAAAGTATAACAAAGTTAAACCTATTTGGGTCCTCCTCGTAGATGGAGGACCGGATGAAAATCCTAGACATTTTAAAAATATCATTGAGTATTGTAATTTATTTAGTGTTCTTAAACTTGATTATTTAACAGTTCGTACACATGCACCAGGTTAAAGTGCTTACAACCCTGTAGAGCGTAGAATGGCATCTCTTTCCGAAAAGCTTGCTGGTATTACACTACCTGTTGACGAGTATGGGTCACACTTAGATACTCAAGGAAATGTTATAGATGAAGAATTAGCTCGACGTAATTTTGAGTTTACTGAACAAAAGTTATGTGATATTTGGAGTAAGGATAATGTACATAGCAAACCTGTAATAACAAAATATATTAGTCAAATCATCCAGCCATTTTTAGATTTTGAGCCTACAACATGGAAATGGATTGAGAATCATGTTCAGTTATGTCATTACTCAATAGATATAAAAAAGTGCAAAAATTATCAATGCTGCAGTAAATATAGGACTCCTGATGCTGCCCTTCTACTAGATCAAAATAATAGATTTCTCCCCCCATTATCAAAGGCAGAAATGGTCATTTTATTGACCCAATACATGCCCTTCAATATTTTGATAAGTTGAAACTCCCTCTATATGATCGCTGTTGTCCATCAATTTCATCAGAAATGCATCAACGCTTGAGTTGTAATGTATGTGGTAAATATTATCCCACCTTAAAATTTATAGCGAACATAAATGCCACCAACATCATGTAAAGCATGGTTGACCTCAAAAATCTCAAACACTAACATCTTATAATCAATCAAATCTTGGGGTTGCTGAAGACGTTGTAGTATTAATTTAACATAATGAGAATTGGCCGGAAAAAAATGACTACATATATGCGTGAAATACAATCTGATATGGAGTAGCAGTGTTTAAAATTGGCTTGCACAAGATGCATATGTGCAAGCATTTTTTTTTGAATTTTAAAAATTTACTAAGTGTGCAAGTAAAATTTTTCAAAAATATATAAAAGTTTGTGCAAGTAATTTTTATTTTGAATTTTAAACACTGCTGAGTAACACATTAGAATTATTGGTAAGTATATATACTGTATGTATATACACGTAATAATATATAGAAATTAGGTAGCTTCGCGCTGAAATCAGAAACGAAAAGCCTTATTTGGGTTAATAAATATATTTAATTACAATACATACATTAGAAATAAAATAATAAAAGAGAATTTAGTCAATGATTTAAAAATTTATTCATGATTATTGTACGTATAGACCAATTTTATTAGTTATTGTGTCGATAGTCATTTCATTGATAAAGCTTGAGCGATAGGGTTGGCCTAATAAATTGTTAGTGTTGGTTAGAGGTAGATTAACTTATAAAAACCTTAATTATGTACATTATGAAGGTGTAAATTATCCTTCTGAAATTACAATTCTGAAAATCCTAAGAATTCACAGGATCGTCAAGATTCTTAAAATAGATATTATTATGTTAATTGTGTAATTACAGAAAATCCTACGTAGTAAAATAGTAAATACGTACTTAGCAATAATCGTTAGAATAGTTCGTTGTTATTATATTACATATATATAAAAAAAGATATATATATCATGAGACTCTTCCCTGAATAAAGATAACTTAGTGAGTTCAAAACGTATTTTCTGAATAACGATAACCTTGGAGTTCCAAACCTTCGAAATTAGAGTAGAAGTGTTTGTCTCTGACCCCGTTATACCCGCTTGTTAAAAATCGTTTGACGTTATTGTATTTTCTTGTTTCTGTGACTTCTGTACATTGTTTCATATATTTAGTAAGAAAGAGGCATTGTATTAGTAACACAACCCTTATATATAAAAATCGATCTGATTAAGTTTGTAATCAATGTCATCATACGTACGTACGTATGTACGTATCTGATTCGTGAATCTGTGATACTGTGACCTTGTACCACCTTTCTAGTACCTGCTAACGAAAGAAGTGTTAGTAAAGTAGTAAGAACAATGACTAAATCACCAAACGAATGTAAAAGGCACTTATCTGAATTAAACACTACCTCTATAAACTCAAAATAGCACTGATTACTCGGACCAAGTCTTTTCACACTTCGATCGAAGCCCTACCATTATTAGGGTTTGGTTATTATAGTAATAGTGTTATAGCTTGAATCGTAGTATTAGTGTGTATAGTGAGTTGTCCTATTTTGGCCCAGAAACTTTTCTGATGCAACTCACAATTTCTTAACATATATAAGTTAATCAATGTACATTTAAAAAATTGTGATTAACATGTTTTTATGAATAACAAACAATCTATACTGTCAGGACTTATTTTAATATGAAATTTTAAAATTTTGGAGGAATGTTTTTTTTAGCTTTTTTTGTAGTTAGATTAGAATTCAGTGTTAGTAGGGTTTATATTTTTAAATAGAGACCCTCATTTCAGCATCATCCCCAACATATATTAATATTTTGACACTATGAAGATTTATTTGTCTGTTTTCTATATTTTGTGATTTTAATGATGGATGTGCTCATTATTTCAAAAGTGGATGGGTAAGTTCAACGGTGGAACAGTAATCTTAACAATAAGTGTTGGTGATTTTAAAAGAGGGTTAGTTTGATTAGAACATCGAGTGAGTTTACTGTTTCAGTAGTAGATTAGTTAGTTCATTTAATATTGATGGGTTAATTTTAGCGGTGGGTAAATTAGTAGTTTATTAAACAATAAGCAAGTTAATGATTGTTTATTATTTGAGTAATGATAAAGATTTCGATGAGTGGATTTGAGATTTTGTAGTGTAAGTTCGTGACTTAGCAGCAATTTCAACGTGGATATTTATTTTAACCGTATACAAGATGTAATAATTATGATTACACTGAATCAGAAATTAGATTTTAGGGCGTACCACTTTGTTTTCTCTGGGTAAGCTATACATTTCGTGATTTCATCACTTTGTTCCTGGTATGCTCTTTTAAATTAGCCACTTGCATGTAGATCTAAAGTAAATTTGTTTTTGTATTTTGGCCACTTTGGTTGAGAATAGCATTTATTGCAAGAATAAAGTTTAAAATATTAATATTTGATTTTTAAAAAAAAAATCATAAATGTATTATTAACCCGAAAACTTCTCTTGGCAATATATAAAACTAATTCACCCTTAATGCTATACAAATTTATTAAGTATATTTTAACAAGGCTGCTTATATAATAAAAGAAAGAAAATCATTAGCTTGAAGTAATTATACAAAACGTAATCAAGAAATTACCAAGATAGAAATAAATTTAAAAGTATAAAGTGAAAGCCGCAGTAAATTCCGGTTTGATCATAATAGAATAAATCCAAGTTAGTGGGTTTCTACCCTTATCGTTATATGATTTATATAACAGGCTTAGCTAGAATTTATAGTTGGCTTTGCTCTATTCTATTTTAAAACCCTTATATAAGTGCATAAGAGTGAAAACATAGAAACCGATCATAGTAAATTATTAAATCTGGTTTTCAGGTTTTCACTTTCACGCACTCATATAGAAGTAACATAATTATATTCAAATCTTATATATAATTATGCTATGTAATTAATTATCATTATTAAACTACGTAATTAATTATCATTATTAAGTAATCTGTATATTACTATCATGTGATTGTATTTGTTAAATTGCTAATACTAATATCTTATTTTTGATTGGTTATTTATGTATTTTGTGTAATGTAATCACTTGCCAAACCATGTATCCATGATAAAAATTACATAATAAATAGCATGCCCCTAATTATATACTATAATAATAAGTATTAAATAAATAATTAATTTTAATACTTATTTTATACTATAATACTAAATATTAAATAAATAATTAATTTTAATATTTATTGTGGCAGCTTATACTGAGATTGGCTTATGCTGAGAATTTAATTATTTTATTATCAAAATTATAAAAATTTTTGAGCCTTTTTTATAGTCCTTTTTTTTTTATAATTAGGTTAGAAATTAGGGTTAGAAGGGTGTGGCAACTTAGTGTAGTTGGTAAGTTGTTGCACCTTCAAGCGGCAGGACAAGAGTTCGAATTCTACCGGTAATGAAATTTAAATTTGCGAAAATGTGTTATGATAAAACTGTATGACATGTCGATCGGGTCAGTACCTATAATCTTGGTCTTACCAACTCATATTGAGAGGTTGTAGAACATAGTATAATGCATGAGTTATATGAAACCCGAGTAAAGCAGCCAAATAAATCTAAGGGATCAAGGGATACAGAAGCCCACTTGAGAAGTCTTGAGTAAAGAAGTAGTACAGATCTTCAATAGCGCTACGTAAAGGATTATTATCTGGGGAACCGGACACCAAAAGCAAACTAAACAAGGACCTAGTGTTTGGCAAGCACTATACCAACCAGGCCGCTGGACTAACCAGAGAAAAAAGGATTTATTCAAAATACTATTGATCCTTCCTGAGCCATCTGGATTGGAAGTTTAGGGCACTGACAGTTGGTATCGAAGTACTGTTAATAGTCCATAAAGTGGATGCTGGGATTTGGGTGAACTTTGCAAGGGCACAGAGTAGATAATGGTAGTGGAAGTAAAAAGCTACAAGTACTTGGTTGCGGTCTAAGCGTAAGTTACCAAAAATCAAAATGATATATGTGTGGAACATGAACTATTCTGGTAGGTTTACTACAAGGATAAAAGACCTCTCTATATGGTAGTGTGTGTCTGCTTTAAAGCTCTAAGAGGCTTACATAGCAGTTTCTCTTTGCTGAGAATATCTCAAAGGCACTAAGTTGATCAGAGGGTTTAATTGGGTAACTCAAGTAATAGTGGGTTACAGGTATAGCATCTAGTGTAGTTCATATGGGTTACATATGCAAGACTACTTAAATAGACAACCAAAAGTTGGATATATGGCTAGAATGTATCCTCGTTAATGTAACAAAGTTAGAGGTAGCTCATGTAGTTGACCTGGCATTTGATCCAAAGTTCAATAAAACATGCCAGACCCAAAGTGATCACCTTAACATTAAAAAAAAAAAATTAGAAGTAGTATTTATTGTCTGGAACGAAGTGACAGACCATTTATTTCTATGCATTGTGATACAAAAATTACTTTTTTGATGCATCATATATTAAAATATCAAAAAAGTAACTTTGCATTTTCCGTCTGTCCACTCACATGATTTAGAGTTACACAAAAATTTTAGAGTTTTTGGAATATGAGCTGCTTCTATTTAAAACTTTTTTTTATTTTAAGTTAATCACCTTTGGGCCTCTAATTAAAGTTGTAGAGCTTATCAAAATGAATCTAATAGTAGTTGAATCATTAAAATCGGCCTTGTAGATCACAAGATATCTTCAGTTCTTTTCAACAATAGTTGAAAGAGAGGTTTACATAGTCAGCGAAACATTTTTGAAGATATCTCATGATCTACAAGGCTGATTTTAACAATTCAACTACCATTAGATTCGTCTTAATGAGCTCTACAACTTTAATTAAAGGTCCAAAGGTAATTAACTTAGTATAAAAAAAGTTTTAGATAGAAGCAGCTTAAACTGCATCACGTTATACTATAAGCTCTCTCTGGTTGAGTAGTAAATTACTAATTAAATAAGTTCCAGAC